TATAATTATTTTTTTAATTATAATTACAACAAATTTTATTATTATTTTTTTAATTTTATCACAATTAATTTCATTGTCCAGAACCTAAAGCAAATAATTCAGTAATCTCGATAGATTTACACAACTATCGACAAAAGTAGAGATATTCATAGTACTTGCAATATCTATGTTGCAGCAAAATCGAAAAACAACAGAAGCAAACAGCTCCAATTCACCGACTCAAAAACATTCAGCCCAACAGTGACAGGAATTTTACAACAGTTTCGGATCAAAACAAACAGATTTCGTCATAAATTTTGCAAATGCATCCGGATAGGAAACATATGATGTTTTTACAATTAAGTCATTTTATCCACTTCAAACGAGATGCCATTGATGGAATTATGCTTGTTACATCATGCATCAAACTTTCATGCTTTACGCTTTCGTATAAAACAAAGAACAGATAAACAAAGATCCCTGCAAAAAAAATAAACAGATAAAGAAAGATGAGCCCACCTTGTTAATTTTATGTCACTTCACACCATTAACAGTGCTTGCCTCAATAATATTACAAAGCAGTAAATCTTTGTGAGAGTATTATGATTATTTCTTTTTTTTTTTTGAATTAAAAATTAAAAATTTTAATTTAAAAACCCTTTAAATGTCATATTAAAAATATTGGTGAAGGGTTAGAATCATGTTGATGTTGAAATTGATTTTTTTTTTTTATCGAGTATATACATAAGATTGCCTTATTAATAATTTTATGCTTTTCAACGAATTTCACATCACTTACCAATAGTATTGAGGAGAATGATGTATGGCATAGACAATTATCATTATTTGTCAAAAAACGATAAGAGAAGAGCTTCTTCTCTTTCTCTAGATTCTCATTTTGTCAAAGTTGTTATTGGATTATACACATTTTTCAATCAATATCATCAATAATACACCTCCATCGCTAATTTTATCAATAATAATTTAAACATACTTGACCATGGAGGAAAAACAATCGTATATGTCTTGTTGTTGATGTATAATAAATTAATTAAAATCATTAGGTCGAGACTTGATAATTTAAAAAAATAAAAAATATATATTATATGTTTTCGTGTCAATATAAATTATAATATATAATTTTTATATAAAATATGATTTGAATACATAAATTTTAATATTTTATATAACACGAATTATTGGTTCTATTGGATCCTGACCGCCTATTAAGATAAATTTTTAACCATAATTAAGAGGATATTATTAAGATTGGTAGGAAAGTCACCAAATTTAAATTTTGATAAGCAATGTATTTATAGAATATCTAAATCAATAAACATTAATTTTTTAAAATTTTAATTTATCATTGTTTTATCTTATCCTTATTTAATTTATTTAATTTATCTGATTAAAAAATATATTATGCACTTTGATTTTCAAACTTACAAATTTTTAACACCCTTTACATCACTCATATCCATATCATTTGAGTTAATACTCAATTGACATTACATACATTAATTTAAAATTATTACTATGTGCACATGCGACCAACCACATTTTATTTTTTCACAAACATTTAAAAGAAAAAAAAATTACATATGAACAAAATAATTTTATATTGAAAAACAAGAAATGCTAATGTTTTATATTAGTATCGATACTGCTTAGGGATCAGATAAAAAATAAAATAGAATGTTTAAAACTTTCAGTAAAAATAACATGAACTCTATTTTTTAATTTTATATAAGAATTAGAGCAAACCAATATAGTAATCCTTAATGAATTCGCATTAATGATGTTTTCAATACTTAAAACCATTTGGTAATCTACATTAGTAAATAAATAAAATTTTTTCAGAATAATTCTTTATTTTTTCTTAAAAAAGAATATGTAATTGATGATATTAATAACAATATTTTATTAAAAAAACTGACCACCGGCCATTTTCACTCCATTAATTTTAAATAATAATAATAATAATTTATAATTAATATACTATTAATTTATATATATTTATTTTAAAAATTAATATTTATTTATTTATAAAATATTATCATCTAATTGACGAATAAGATATCAAATACATTAATAATAATAATGAAATTTCTCTTCCCAAAAAGGAAAAGTAACGGCAACCAAAGAAGGCAAAAAGGGGAAAAAAACAGCTATTACCTCGTACGGACCCATGAGTTTCATCCGATGGTTTATATCAAACCACGTGGCTAAAATCGGGCTTTGGAAAAAGTGGAACACGGGACACGAGGCAAAAGTACCTTCGGGGGAGGTATTCTCTGTTTCCGACAAACCGTACAACTATCCACGTGGGTGCACGCGGCTGGTAGGGACCACATATACTTGGCCCCAATTGCCGCGATCCCCACCGTAGATTGCGGGGATCTTTTTTCGTACGGAAATTTTTGGGTATAGGGGATTGTGCATCTTAAGGGAGCCTTCGTAACTGTTGTATATTTTTTTTTTAATGAAAAAATGGACAAAGATCCTTGGTGGGTTGGAGCTTTCATTTTATTATATTCTATGTATATTAGTTATTTATTATTTTATAAAAAATACTGTTTTTTATTATTTATTATTTAATTTAATCAATTATTAGGACTTTGGATATCGTGATTTGGTTTTTTTCCACTCGAATAGGTTTTGGTAACTTCCAAGTTCCAATCATGAATATTATCTATTTGCACACTATTACCCCAGAGGAGGAGCTATCTGAAATTTTCAAAAATTAAACATTTACAAGTAAAAATTATATAAAAGTTGTGCAATTTACGATAAACTTGAGACAATCCACGTGAATGACATTTTTATAAAATTTCTAACGCCTGCTTATTCGAATAACAAAAATTTAATTTTTTAAAAATAAATTTCAATTTTAAATTTTATGCATAAAAAAATAAATTTAAAAAATTTTATTTCACTTACGAAATTCAATCTGATTTCGAAATAATCAAAATTTGAAATAATTACAAAATACTAAAAAAATTATTAATTAAATTACGTCTAAAATTTTTGAATTCAATTATCCCTTTCGTGTTTATGGCATAATTTGTTGACTTTTTTTTTTTTTCCGATTATGCAAATTGCGTGGTGTATCTACTTACTATTTACGGAAATAGAGTAAAGATTCAAAGATTGCAATTTGGTTGCCGAAATTTCCAGTTTGAAGTCTAACAATCATAAGTTTTTAACCATAGTTTTCAACACTCGTTAAAATCACAACCATGGTTTAAACATTGAATTTTTTAATATAGTTACAATACGAGTATGGAAAATTATAGTAGTTGCTTTTTAATTCTTTTTAAAATAAAAATAAATTAATAATACACAATTTTCATCGAGATAGGTATCAAGTTAATAATTATAAGCATTCAACAATTGAAACTTGACATCCGAATATTTGATTCAATAATTAATTTATAATTTAATTATTCAAAAATTAAAAACTTAAAGTTCGAATTTTTTCATACTCAACTTACATCAATTGAAATTCGAGTGTTGGATTTTGGATATTAAAGGAAAACCTTTAGATTTCTCAATCTAAGGAATGCATTAAGAAAAGAGACGCAAACAATCAAAGCTTTGAGGTAATGAGGTAATGAGGTAATGAGGCAAGCATACATAAAAATGCATCATGGATAGGTCAAAAGCTTCATTAAGTCCAGGAAAAACATAATTAGGTTAATCCAAGCAATATTTTTCTCGTTACTTTACTAATTTAGAAAATTTTGCTTGAAATTTCGAGCTTGTGGAAGCATTAAAGTTGACACCAAACACAAATCAATTCCATTGTTGCTTTTCAACCCAAAATATTTCCTAAAGATTAAAAGTCTAATCAAAAGAAATTAAGATGCCCTGAAATGACACATTGCCTAATATTTTCTGAAGAAGAATATGAATGGATTCAGTCTTCATTCTTGAAGAAGCAAAAAGCTTGAATTCATCATCAATAGTTGAATATTGAGTCATTTTTAGATTTTCATGACATAGTTATTAATTACTAGGAGGAATGACATAATTTTTCATTCTACTTATGCTTTAAATGCTTAATTTGACTACCCCTAAGCTATCAACAAGTTTTATTTAATTACAGTACATTTTGTTCAAAGATTTGCATGTCTAGCTAGAAACTTTATTTGGTCAAATGTTTATCAGAAGATTTAACTCATTTCTGTAAAATTCAAGGTTGAACCAAAATACCGAATACCATCAAACCAAAACACATTGTTCTAATTTTTATTTCTCTAATATTCATATAAGCATCAATAGAGTAGGCTAATTTGTTATTTGCTAGACTGCTACTACATAATATATATGAATGCTCATATTGGTACATGCTGCACGCATGCAGTTCTCCAACATTCCTTGAGTGCATGAATACTCATATTGGAACTCATATACATATACATAGACATGCATACATTTACATAGTAAATTTAATAATTACTCGAGCAAATAAAGGCAAAAAAAGGTATATTTTGAAAGTGATTAATGAAGTTGAGAAGAAGGGGCTAATGAAAAAGAGATTTCAAAGGTATTCATTGCATAATATTTATACTATTAAGCCAGAGGTAATCGTAAGGTAAGAATTATGAAGTAAGTTGGAAAGTCATGATGGAAAAGTTGCCTCTAAAAGTTTGCTAATGAGGATTATGGCAACAGCTAGCCTTCTTATGAGGATATAGATAAACAATGTAAAACAGATGTCAGCGATTAAACCTGATATCCATCAATTTTCAATCATTTCCTGCTCTTATCATAGTTTGAATCAGAATTTGTTATATTTTCTTTGCAGAGTGTAATAATCCAGATACACCATAAGATTCAGTTTAGAGAAACAAGAGCTGTAGCACTACTACTCTAACTTGTGTCAGCAGTTCAGAAATACACACACAATATTGAATAATTAAATTAACTTATAATTAGATTTTAGGGAGTCTTCCTTCTACAACCTTTGAAAATAATAATTTAATAGTCTTTAAAAATACGACAAACAAATCAGATAACCCCATAAGAACAATCAAACATCAGCCAAGTATTAAACAAGTATTATCCTTAATTAATAATGTTCAAAAGTTTGTCTGCCCAAGTGGACTAGGAAATAGCCCTACAAAGGCTAGCTTCAACCCTCAATATTCCATCTGTTTATTGGCCTAATTTTTGTATATCTAATACTTTATGACGTGTCTCTTTTCTTTAGGTTGTAACCAATTTCAGAAAAGATGAATCTAGGTTTTTGTCTTCTTGCCTTATAATAGATCTATTTTTGGTTGTATTTGGACTAATATACCTCACAGACACTATTCACAGGCTTGTAAGTTTCCACCTCGCCAATGCAATGTCTTTCAATAGAAACACTTATTATTATTGTTATTTATTTGGGTAAATTAATTCTCTGGATATTAGTGAAGCATTGGGAAATGCTTTCTTTTCATGACAGCAGTTCATATTTATATATGAAACAACATAAGTAAAGATTACAATATCTACTAACATTGGCATTGGCTTGTACCATCATATGTATATATAACATTATCAACTAAGCCATTGAAATGTCAAATCAAGTAGACAAAGAGAAATACCTTAGAAAAATAAAACCCATAAAAACCATATCATCCAGACAATTGCTGACTGCAAAAGGACCTTATCCTTCTTCCAGTTATATAGTGCTTTCTGTAAAAAAAATTGTCTCTATTAACATCAAGCAAAAAAATCTATATTTGATCTATAAAAGCCTCTAATCAGTAATCATATTTGGAGACATCCAGGGCATTAGTATATAATTTTGTGATTTAAAATGTCCCAAGGAAAGCAGGTGGCAAAAATAGAAAGTAGAATATATATAAATCTGAATTCTTAAAGATGAATTGACCAAGAAATAAAAATCAGAATTCAGAAGTACTAACCTAGTTATAGATAATTCAAAGTACATAACAATTTGACAACTGGTTTGGGTACATATAATACATGTTATAGCATCACTTTTTCTACCATCATTTTCTTTTACCTCTGCTTCCTCGTAACTGATCATGCTGTCACTACTATTCCAAACTGTCCCCTAAAAGAGCAATTTGAAGGATACCCACCTCTTATCAAAGCAGAATAACTTATTTTCAAACCAAAGCAAAAATACAGGGAGGGTACAGCTCAATCTTGTAAAAACAACATAAATATACAAGCCAAGTTACCAACAACAAGAAAAGGGCAAAATTAACATAGAAGGAGAATAATAGAATATGTTCATACTGATCATTTTCACTATAGATTTGGTTCATTTTAAACAAGATATATAACAAAATTTCTTTTGTTACTCACTTGCAGCAGTGGCACCAGCAAGTGTTGCTGGTGTTGGAGCTGGTGGCTGTGCTGATGGTGTTGCTACCTTCTGCTTAGGCCTCTTTCTCTTCTTCTCATAGCTAACCCCTCTAGCTTTGGCCTGGAAATCCCTTACTTCCCTTAAGAAAATCCTGACAGCTCTAGCTCCAAAAGGGTTCCCTTCTGGCCTACCACCATGCTCCTCATAAGCAGCCCGGAGTCGGCCAATGAGTGCATCAAGGCTACCCCAGGCTTGCCTAAGAGGACAAGGGCAAGGAGCAGGAGGGTTAGGAAGGCCAAAGAAAGGGCAAGTCTGGTGGTGAACTTTGGTCTTGCCAAATTGATCAAGGTACCTAAGAAACTCAAGGACATGAGCACCACTACACATTGACAGAGACAGTGGAGGCCTATGGTTTCTCAGATATTGACAAAAGGTGTTCCAATCTCTGCGCTTCTGGTTCTCATAGCGGCTTGGAGTGGTCGATGGAGGTGCAGTGGTAGTGCTAGAAGTGGGCGTTGCAGTGCTGATGATGTTGTCGTTGGTAGCTGTAGTTGCCATGGAGTTTGAACCAACTATCGGGCTTGGATAGTTATTTGGGTTGTTTTGTGGGGAAACCAAGTCCATTATCAGAGAAAAATGATCTTTTTATTCTTGGGTGTTAAAGGATCTTGGCAGCTGCTGCTTTTCTTTGTTGATGATATTATCTTTGCTTCTTGTTTTGATGCTCTTCCTTTTAGGGTTTCACTTCCAGCTTCTATTCTCCTTGAAAGACTGAGGATGATCAGAGAGAAAGAGATCAAATCACATATATATTCTTCTGATGTTTTAGGAAAACAAGGGTATGAAACTAACAAACAAGGAGTAAAGCTTTCTTTTCTTTGCTGAGGAATTGAAAAAGTGATGAAGAAGAACTTTTCACTTCAGGTATATTGGTGACTATGATGGCTGAAGAAATGATATTGAAATGCAAGATTTTGCATGGCTTCCATGAGAAAGTGAAAGAAAGAAATAATCAAGTAGAGATGAGGCAAAAAAGGGTTTTTTTCCTTTTTGGGAGTAAATATTAATAAAATTTAATTGAGCCAAAGAAAAGATACAGAACTAGTATCTGTGATTTCTTTGTTTGAAGTTGAACACACAAAGCAGCGGAGGCACCAGCAGAGAGTCAGCAAGAAACTCTTGAAAGACTGCAGTTATTTGGGATATGAAAATAAGGGTAAAGGGAGGAAAAAGATGAGATCAGAGATGATCAGAGCCTTCCTTTTTCGAGCTAAAGGGCAAGCAAACTCAAGTTTAACACTGTTGATAAAGTAAGAGAGAGAGAAGAAAATCTGTCATAGTGGTGTAGCAATGGGAGAGAAGGGCAGGATTCAGTCAGTTAAAGGCCTCTGGTAATTAATAAGTAGTAGCAGTGAGTAAAAAAAACTACTGTGTTGCTAAAAATAGGACAAGTTTGACAGTGAAGGCAGCCTTGATAGTGACCCAAGGGCTGTAACCCAATATTTCACCTTTCATTTCACTTCAAACCTAACCCTCTTTAAAATAAAAAATATTAATATAAACTATAAATATAAAATAAATATGAGAGTTCATTTGGATTTACAAAATGAAGCTTTTGAGGCTAAGTAAGAAAATATTGTTTTCATTGGAGCATCTCTTTCCCCTTTTACCTTTTTTTTTTTTATATAAATTTTTTATATTATTTATAATTATAATTATTTTTATATTTAAATACATATTTTTTCATTATAAAATTTAATTTTATTGTTATAATAATTAATTTTGTTTTTATAATTATTTTTAATCTCATAAAAATTAATTTTACCATCTATTTAAGTCCAAAAACTGATAGCTACAGTTTTATAATTGCATATAGTATTAGGAACCTTCACAGCAATTGCCCAAAAACCTCTCAAAATTTCCCATGATCTTCCATGAAAGCTTGTAGGATAAGCCCTTGGGAAGGGCTTTGAGTCTCTATTTCTCTTCATTTTCATAAAATCAAAACCCAAAAGTACAAATCTCACGTTGTTGTCAAAGGAATTATCATCTTTAGATCTTGTATCTTTTGTTTGGGGTAATGACATTGAGCTTTCAACTATTTATTCATTTTGGTTGCACATGTGCGGTGAATTTCAACCATTTTGTGGTAAATTTGCGTCACTGTAATTGTTTTTTTTATGTGAAATATGAAGTAATTTGTCGGAAACCGGCATTGGTGGGGGATGAAATTTATTTTTGCTATGGTACTAAATATTAGAATATTCAAGAGCATTTAAAATAACCCAACTCCCCTCCATTGCCTATTGTACTAAAAAAGAAAGAAAAAATTAGCTAATTAGTTGCAAATACGTACAAAATATTCACTACCATTAGCAATATAATTTCGAAATGTCTTTTCGTTATTGATAATGTTTAATTGCACCGTCATAAATAGTTTTTTTTTTAATTAGCTATTTGTTTATGGTTGAATCCACCCTTTATTTTCCCTCTTTATTACTGATCTTTCATCATTAATTTTTTAAAAAAATTATAAATGTTCAGATTAATTAAACTTAACTATTAATATTATTTTTAAATATAATTTTATAAATTAATTGTATTAAATTTTGAGTTCTTGTTAATTTAGTTTCATTAAATTGTGATAGATTATAAATGAAGGGAGCAAATAAAACAAGTAAATGAATAAATTTTTCCCCAGAAAAAAAAGAGATGGTTATTAATATGGGTTTTCATATGAGAGAAATTAAATTATACTTCTTATTCTCTTTTAGATGTTTTCAAATTCAAGATTTTAAATTACAATGTTCGGATGACAAATTTATTTTAATTTTGAGAATGGAGATTGATAATAAACAAAATATTTTGATAATTACCTTGATAGTAAATTAAAAAAAAAAAAAGTCTTATGTTAACTCTATTAATTTTACTTATAAAATTAAAAAAAAATTATACTAATAATTAATCAAATACAAGCACTTTTAGTTTTACAATGCAAAAGACTTCCGACAGACAATCATCAGTCAAAATTAATTAGTTTGAACCAAAAACAGAAAAACATGACCAAAATTGTTAACGAAAAGCCATTGATCCAAATATATGTGAGGTAGCTTTAGGCCAGTTAACCCTAAACACTAGGCCTATATGAATCTTGTTTATATTATTGTTACTGTACTCTATGCGTCTGGTATGCCATCTACCAGTTCCCAAAGTCCCTCTACTTTAGGGTTTTGCACTGTTTTCCTCTCTAGTTTACTTACATTATCTTTATATTATTTTTTTAAATATTAAATCTAAAATCAATTATAATTAATAAAAAAATTAATTTGAATATGAAATCACCAAAAGTCATGTATTTAAAGTATATGATATAATATCATTTTAATAAATTTCATCACGCTTAATTGAAGATAAAAATGTGTTACTTGACAAATTTAAAAATGGATAATAAGCATATGTAATAAAATAAAATAAAATATGAAACATCCGATTTAAAACTAATTTTTAATAGATAAAAAGGTCCAATTGACATATAAGATTTAAAAAATATATATATTTAATAGATGTAAAATATTATCACTTTAATAATAACTAATTTTTTGTAAAAATCTAGTTTTTAACTAAACAAAATCAAAATTCATAAATTGAATATATATATATATAATTAAACTATGTTTTGGTATAAATAAAAATATTGGCTTAAGATTCAGATGAATACAATTATGAAAAAGATTTAATTTGATCAAGTAATCTACATATTATTTAGTTCGATCGATTTATCAAATTTTCTTTTCCTTTCACATGCATTAATTTGTATAAATAATTTTGTAATTTGCATTAATTTTGAAATTTCAAAGCTAAAATATATATATATAAATAATTTAAATTTTAAATTTAACTTAATTAATTTATATAATTATTTAAAAATAATATTTAATTAATACAAAATTCAAATCTTAACTTTTTTTTTTTTTCAGATTATAAACTTCTTTATTAAAAATACCCAAACTTTATACTCAAATCCATCGAATCATTACCCACAAAAGAAAAGTACTTATGGAACAGCTTTCTGCTAATTTGTAAGGCAAGGTGGATAAATTGAGAGTGATGATGGAAACGGTTCAGGGAAATATCATCAACCAACCCATTAAATCAAATTCCTACCAGAATAATATAATATAATATTAGCAACCTTAAATTATATAATATAATATTTATTCTGTCTTTTTTAATATCTCAAACTTATATTTTTTATTTTTTTATATTAAAAATTACGAAATTTAATTTTAATAGTAAATATATTAAAATTAAATTTTTTAAAATTTCGCAAAAATTAATACATAACAAATATTTTAAATGAAGAAAGTATCCGTTAAATATTTCAAAACTTCATTCAATTTATTTTGATTTTCTTTCTCTTGACATATATTGGGAATCGATAATTGGGTTATATTTTTATTTTTGTGCCTAATTTAGTAAATGTGTGTACATAAAGCATCACTTTTGCTTAGACCATTTCAGTATCAAGCGATTAATACATATCAATGGACTATTATTTTTGAATAGACACATAGCTAATCTCATATATTTAAAACAATAGACACATAGCTTCAAGTTACTGGACAGAACAATTTCGGATAAAAGTCATTAAATTCTTTAGTAATTACTAATATTTTGTTGTACCAAAATGGAGTACATTTTATCAATTCGTGAAAAACACATTTCCAGGATAATTTTAGTTGAAAATTAAAATTCAAGGGGCATGGTCATTACTCATTTGCTTCTTGATAAAAAATATTTTTTGTTTTGCTTCTTGATAAAAAATAATTAAAAATAAATTTAAAAATTTATGTATTTATATCATATAAAACATTAAAATTTATATATTCATATTATATTTTATGTGAAATTATATATTATAATTTGTATCGACGATATAAAAATATAAAATAATTTTATATATAATTTTTATTAAAATTTTAAATTATATTATTTTTATATTTTTTAATTATATCATATTATTATATTATATTTTAAATTATCATATTTAATTTAAAATATATGATTTTAATAATAGATAATAAAATTGTTAAGGGTATCCCAAAAAAATTGAAGGACCTTCTCACCATTATTTCCCTTTGGTAAAAGAACATCTAGGGAAATCTTTTTGACCCCTTTTTTTTTTTATCATCTTTTCTCTTCCTCCTAAAATATGATATTGGGATTTTCTAAGCCACAATATCTTATTCAGAGCAGCCATGATTGTCATAAGTGAGGAAATAGGGATAGCTTTTCTTAAAAATAGAAAACAAAGCTGTTTCCACTTACAGTACGGAACACATTTCCTGCATTTGGAATTTTAAACCTACAAATAGGGTATCATGCTGACTGTCAATGGACATAAACAAAAAAAAAAAACAAACAAATGGACTCTCCATTCCGTAGCTGTTGGAACCAAGGAGATGGCTCAGCTAGCTAGCCTAGTTCTAGCCAAGGTTTCTTTCCAATTGGTGAGTACCATGAAAGGAAAGGAAAGACAACCAACCCAAGATTTACCCTTAACTCCACTATTTCTTTGGGGCTTTGTTGTTCCATTTTTAGGGTACACTGTCATGCATATATACAGAAAATATGCTACTGATCCAGCCTTGAAAGATCTTGTCTTCTTATCTCTCATTTGATGTGACTAACTTTTTTGCCTTTTTAACTATTGTTGTCTAATTATGTATAATAGAAAGATAAATTTAAATGATTTGTTTAATAACATCTTATTGCAATACGGGTGAGAAAAAAATAATTTAAAATTATAATAATTAATTTAGTTTAAATCAAATTTTTTATTTAATTTAGATTAAAATTAAATATTAAATATATATTAAATTCATATTAAAATTTGAATTAAAATATAAATAATAAATAAAATTATATATTTATTAATTTATTATTTTTTTAAAATATTTATAAAATAAAATAATTATTATATATAATTTTATTTAAATATATTAAAATTTTATTAAAATAATATATAAAAAATAAATTTTAAAAATGAATGAACCATACTTAATATATAAAATTTGATTAGAATAAAATCAATTTTAAAAAAATTAATTTAAATTTAAATTAATTTTTAAAAATTTATAATATTATATATTATTTAAAAAATCTAATAAATTTTGATCCAATCTAATCTAAATTATTATCATCTTTATTATTACATGGTTTAAAACAATTGTAAAATTAAGATTTAAAATCATTTATGTTATACAAGTAAATTTATTAATTGAGGATCCTAATTTTTTATCTATTTAATTTCAATATATATATATATATATCATTAAGATTAAAAAATATTTGATCAATTTGATAGTCATTCAAAAATATTATTATTCTTCAACTTGAAATGAAATTATTTATAAAGAAACTGTCCATCATTTTGTTTGATTTATGTGAAAGTAGTTTGGCATCTCGCCCATTGTTTTTTATCCTTAGATGGTTGTCCTTTTCTGTTTGATCATGAATTGACTTGACATTTACACAACAATGGCTGAATGACATGTCCTTTTTTTTTTTTTTTCATTTGTTTTCAAGAAATGTGAATGACATGCTAATCGACAGTGGATATTACTTTTTACGAGTATCTAATTCCATAATTTATAAGTTTGAGGTAATTTACAAAATGGGTTTAAATTAAGTTTAATTTTTATATTTTATCTTAATTGATTAAAATTATCTATAATTCGTGAATTATTTATTGAAATTCACAAATTGTTTAATTTCGAATTGATATAATTTATTTAATTTCTATCTTTTTTTTTTATCCTGTGGGAGTTCATGTTAGTTTCTGTATTAGCTATCTATTTTAATTTTAACTAAACCATTATATTTAGTATTAAAAAATAAATAAATAATTAACATAAAATAAAATTAAAATAACATACAATAAGAATTAAACTTAAAAATGAAAGATTTTCAAATATTTCATATATGAATACATGATTGTTGCTCCCAAAACTCAAGGATAGACAATTTTGGAATAGAGTTGGAAGCTACAGAAACCATGAAGGATGATTAAATTTGCTATCATAAGCAAATAATAAATAGGCTTCAAGCTTCATTTGGATGATCTATAAAAAGAATTTATCATAATATTATGTTATTTTAAAATTAATTTTTCTACTGTTCATCAAAATGATGAATAGCAACAAAAATGAGGAAACTTCATAGCAATCCATAGCTTTGTTTGTTGAATTCAAGTCCCATCTCGTCTAAACAAGTCATGGGGGAAATGACTCCACTGCAAAAATGTCCTATAATTGTTTATATTTATTCCTTTCATGGCAGAAATCTTCAAGTTTAAGTTTGTCATATTACAAAAACTACTTACAAAAAACCACAAATGTTAGTTTTTCTTTAAGCTTGGCATGGTGGAAAGTTTTTTAACTTGAAAGTGAAGATTGTCTTGTTTTAGTTGTGGTGTCCATATGTAAGCACAAATTCATCACCATTAAAACATTCCTTTGTCATTGTCACTCGATTAGATTAAGGACAATTTGTTACATGCTTTTATCATTTTACATGCAGAGTCTCACTATTTTCATTCACAAAAACCATAATCCAATTGAAATTGACACGTTCAAACTTTAATGGCATGGTATGGCATGGTTATATAGGTTAAGGTTATGTTTGGACATGGAAAATATGGTGGAAAGGAAAATGTTGAGGAAAAGTCTAAAGAAAACAATCTGCAAACTAGCAATAGATTGTCAATCAAACGAAGCTGGATCAACTATCAAGAGGGTAATCTGGGTCAAATGGAAAATAATTTTTCAACTTTCCTGAAAAGTTTATTTTGGGAAAAGAACGAAAATCCCTACAAATTATTGGTACAGAGTATAATTAAGATGCCTCTCATCTAGTAACTTCATCATCTCTTGTGAAAACCAGTTATGCATGTGGCAAGTCCAAGGGAAAAGAGATGGTGTACCAAAGCAACCAATGAGTGGCCCTTCATGTTTTTAAGACCTGGACCTCCAATGAACAAATGATATACTAAGTAAAAGAAGGGTGAGAATCAGGATGTCAACAAAAAAAAGAAATACTACAATAGTTCCTTAAAATCTCATAGTAATCACATGTTAAACATTACCGGTATTGCTTTTCCGGGTCTCTTATAAGAGAAACAATAAACTCTGGCGCTGGAAAACACAAAGATGCAAAAATTATGACAGAAAAAGCTCTGCTCCAACATAGCCAGCATCCATGGAATATTTCTCACTCGTCAAAACACAGAAGCAGTTATGGATACATCAATGCCAAATATTACTCCTTGAATGAGGAAGAATTTCATGACTTAGTCCCTCATAGCCCAACAAAACTCATAACTTGTTTAGAGCAAAAACAGCTATTCCTCAATTCCAGTTTGTTTTTCAGCAGTATCTCCACCCAAGACAGAAGAATTGTCAATCTTGGTGTGGTCATTAAAACCTTCACCTTCAAGCTGTTGTTGGATGCTTTCCTGTGCAGGATTTATAGATTCTGCAGCTACCTCAGAACTTGTTACAGCATCCCCAGACATCCCATCAAGTCTCTTTGTGATATTATCTCCTTTGTCTTCCACAACCAAAGTTACATTACCACACATGCTTCCATCTGATTCCATATCCATAGCAGCATGCTCTTTCCCTGAATCGACATTCATATCAACTTTCAGGCTTAGGTGGCCATCAAGAGAAGAGTCAACATGCTCTGAGGAAGGTGCAGGTTCAGAAAGTCCAGTGCTTGGCACAGCGGATTGACTTGCTGCAGCCTCAGACAACTCAAGATTACGATCCTTTTCAGCTACTGCTTCTTGTTTTTGTGCTTGTACTTTGTATATATTCATGAGATTTTGTATCCTTTCTAACTCAGCTATGAGATTCCCATAGCGTCTTTGTAAAGTTTGTTCAAGCTCTTTCTGCTTCTGAACTTCCTCCCAGAGACCATTTATTCTGTGTGATGCTGCTAACTGCTCCTGCTTTTGTAATGCTTGAAAACACTCAAGTTCTGTTCCTGCAGTATCCATCTGATTAAAGGTTGACTCAATCTGACGCCAAAGAGTTGCAGCCCGTCTCTGATCATCCAAATTGTTGATTGTTTAGTATATCAGCAGGAATTGAATTTCAAACAAGTTCCATAACCAAAAGTACGATATGTAATTTCCAATATAGAGTACCTAAAATCTCAAAGGATATCACAATTTAATCAATTATTCTTTAGCTACATGTTATCTTTAGAATAAAAATAGTGAGTTCATTAATTTGTTTGCTAGAAAAGATATAAAAGCAATTCTCATATCCATTTAACATATATAGTTAGAAATTGTTACTAAACAATTTAGTTCTAAGTTCTGCTTTAAAATGAACAAGAAATATGACCTACATTCTAATCAAATACACTACTAAAAAGACCTTCATAAGGTAAAATATCAGGATTCCACCCCAAACTCTTGGAGGTTTTTCCACATCAAGAATCACCGTAATGTAGAAACTATGGAAGGAAAACAAAAAAAAAACGAAGTAAGCAAAGATAAATTATAGGCTTCTCTAGAAAATTTTAAAACAACATTTCACTCAAACGTTAAATTCTTTTCTTTATACAGGTACTTCTTTACATGCTAATTGTTCCATGATAATCCCATCCAACTCTAATCCAACAAGTATATAATTCCACGGCCCTACTTCCAAATATGGATATCAAGGCATCAAGGTTTACTTGATTCAGACAAATAAAGAAAATATGCTGTATAAAAGGCTTCTGCAAATGTTATTAAGCACTACAAAAATTCTCAAAAAAATTAATAACAGAAACTGTACGATAGAAATTATAACATGCATGCTACAAGTTGCAATAAAAATTAAGATGATAGTAGTAGAAGCAAATTATTAATGAAAATTATTAGCATGTATCTAAAAATGTACCTCATAACCCTGCGTGAGGACATTGAACTTCTTCTCCATGCCTTCTGCTTTTGACTTATCAATATCCATCTTCTTTTTCACATTATCAAATTCAGTGTGCAGAGCCGCAAGTTTCTCTGTATTTCCAGCAACACTTGATAGACCATAAGCATTACGAGTAGGGAAGTACATGAGATCATTTAGGCAAGTATTGTGTGCTTCCACAAAATCATCAAGAGATTCATTTTCATGCCCCATTGCCACACGAAGGAATTCAGCCTCTTCCTTTATCAAGGAATCAGCCTGCCAAGAAAAATAAATCAGTTATGCTCACATATCATCTCTGTTATTACAAAAGTCAAGGATCATGAACCCCCCCCCCCCAAAAAAAAAAAAAAAGAAGCTCAAGATCTGGCTGACAGTAACCTGAATCCGAAAAGTGAGAAGTAAGTGGGGTTCAGAAGATGGAATTATTTAGAGTACATCGCCTTACGTGCTGTGGAACAAGTAAGACAGATGTAGACTGCAAAGTTTACGAACACCAAACATTTATAAGGTGGAAGCAAATGAAAACCTATTTTCAACTGCTGGAATGTGATTTTAGGTAGTTTGAACTCCGTAACGAATAAAATCTGTGATAGGCAATGTTTATCAAAAAACTCAACTCAATCCTATAGCAAGCACCAAAATGAAAAATTCTTACATTAATAAGCAACTGCAGAGTATGATGATAATGTCCCATGAATTCACTAAGGTTCGGAAACATAACTTCCGTAAGAAAGAAGGAAATAAAGGCAACATAACCAGTGAAAAGCATGGCAAACCTCTGTCATTTCATCTTCTTCGAAATCTTCTATACTGGGAATAGATCCATTTGCAGTACGTTTGGCACCTTTTTTTTTCCCCTTTGCCTTTTCATCAAGAGGATACTTAGCATTGTCATGCTCCAGCAAGGACAGAAGCTCCTTTCTTACCATTTCATCAGCCTGCTCAATTGAGGTAGGAGGAACAAAGGAACTTTTGTCTACATCAGTCCTGATCAAAGAATCTCTAATTAGTTCCAGGGAGGCACTAGGAGGTCTTGGAAGCTCCCTCTGCAACACTTTTGATCTCTTCTTAAGTAATGCCTGCTGCCGTGCTTCTTCCTCAGCCCTTTCTCTAGCTATTCTATCAGACATGTCTTCTTCAATCTTCTCTTCTGGTTCTTCATTATCTTCTGGGGGTGGTTGAACGACTATTTGGTACTCATTCTTTGGCTGTGGAAGACTACTGAGTCCAGATCGCAAGTTCCTTCTTAGATCAGCTCGTCTCAGTTGCTCAAGTTTGCCACTGTCATGTAGATCCATGTCTTCGTTTATGTGGAGCTCATCCCTGATGGGAGTTCCTTTAGGGGTCAAACCAAAAGAATAGCCATCCCTTGATGGCGTCATTCCAATTCTAGGAGTAAGACCTGTACCTCCTGGAGTCGCCGAAGGAGTTGACATTGGATTTGGTGTTTGAATCTGGTTTCTAGGAGTGACCCCTGAGAAATCTGAAGGGTGCAGCTCAGGGTTTTCTCCACCAAGTAAGGGTGTTTGGGACTCTCTCAACCTAGCCAGATTTTCAGCTTCCATCATGATAGCATCACCTTTTCCAGCAGGTGTTCTTTGTGGGGTCCGTAAAGGTGTCATTCCCTGCCGTGGTGTCTGGGAGTAATTTGCGAGAAGAGCACGAGTTGCACCACTCCCTTCGGCCAGTTCCTCATTCCCTGCAAGAAGATCACTGGCATATCCCATCTTTGCAATCTCCTCCAATTCATGATTGGAAATCTGAGGTTCTGGCAGCATAAGTTTAGATCTCTTCCTCACTGTTTCTGGATCATTCATCTTGTTGGCCTGCAATATTGCTGATGGGGCATCCTGCCTCTGTGCAATTTTATTTTTTGCAATATCCTGCTTTCTTAACTGCGCTTCTATATCAACTCTTCTTTTTCCCTCAAGTTCTTCAATGGTGGTTGGGAACTTAGGCTGTTCCACAGGTCTATCTTCATCAGCAACATCATAAAAGCCTGGAGGAGGCCTCTTCTCAAAGGGAATTTCTCCATTATAATCAATTCCCTTCCTTTTCCTCCTCCGTTGTCTTGTATCAATTCCAGCAGCCTTAAGTTCCCTCCTTTTCTGCAAAGAAGCAAGCCTCCTAGCCTCTTCAAGCTGTTTCTCCCTAGCTTTCCTCTTCGCCTTCTTGCCCCTAGTATTAGCTAACCGAGCACGAGCTTCAGAAAGCATTTCTTTCTCATCCTCATCCATATCAACAGGATCTGGACGTGCAGGCTTTGATTCAGGGTTTGGGTCAATCTCTCCCGGACGCAATTTCCTGGGGTCATCACCTGGCTCATAATTTTCATCTCTAGCACAGGCAGCATCAAGGAGTTTCTCATACCGCTCAAGACACTGAGATGGAGTCCGACCAACAATTGGCGCAATCGTTCTCCATTGTGTTGGCATGAGCTTTGCAAGATGAAGCAGTTTTTCATCCTCTTCTCTAGTCCACTCGGTCTACATATATCACAAAAACACATCGCTTCAAATTTATTAACTTTATAAATAGGCAGAATTACTGCTAGTTTTCTTAAACAAAAGGAATCAAGTAAAAAAACACTTAAATTAACCTTAATAATCCAACACAAAGAGAAATAATAATACCCATTTTCAGCAAGAATGCAACTTGAATTCTCGACCACCAAAAAGCTTCAATTCCTAATAAGTAGACTTCACTTGGTTCTAACTTTTGTCACTTTTAACTTATAAATCGAAACACTGAAAAGCTTCAATATCAAAGCTGATTTGATCTTTTAATAAGAAACCCAAAGAAGTTAACCAATATTAAGCAATGTAAAATTCCATTAATACTCAATTTTGAAACAATCCCGTCTTAATAAAGCTAAAGATAATTACAAAAAAAAAGAAAAGAAAAAGAAAATCACCTTTTTGATAGAAGGGTCAAGCCACTCATACCAACGAGCTTTACATTGCTTAGCAGATTTACGAACAAGTAAAGAAGAAATTCGAGCCCATTGATTCTTCCCATATTTCATAACCGCCGCCTTCAATATCTCATCCTCTGTGTTCTTCCATACTCCTCCTTTTATCATAATCCTCATTTTCGCTCACTTTTTTTTCCTTGATCCGCCTTACAGGATTTAATTCAAATACAAAAATTAAAATTACAAACCCTAGGTTCTTCAATTGAAAAGCTCTGGATTTTAAGCTTAAAAATCCATTTTTTTTTCTATATTTTTTCCTTTCTTTTCTTTCTCGTTCAAGTGGCAAAAGGGTAACTGGGAGAGCAAGTCGATCTTAATCTTATAAATATTTTATTTTGACCCCTCAAACTTGTATAATTAAAGTAGGACCCTCACCCATTGCTTGGCCTTTTTAGCCCAGTCCATTCCAAATAATATTAACTTAAAAGAAACCTAATATTTTTGACAACGCTCAACGTTGTTGCCTGGTTACTATAGAGAACGTCAGGTCTATAACTGCCAAAATACTCGATCAAATTCAAAAGACCTGTGTAAGCCTGCAAGAAATTCAATCAAAATTTCATCGATGAGGCTACAAAGAGGAGAAAATGAAGATAGATGTTAGATGTTTCGACTGACAAGTATGAAAACGTGAAAGAAACTAGTATAATCAAAAAGGAAATATCTAATTATAAGACCCAGAGCCAGAGGAGCAAGGTTTTAACTGGTCAACTTTAGTGAAGACGAAAATAGAAGTTCAGCAACATTTCATACCAGAGAGGACAGAGCAATGCAACCAAAAACTATTGCAAGAGAACGAAGAAGTCTTTTTTTCTCATCATCTTCACCATCTTCCTGCAGTCAACATCAACTTCCATAATCAACAAATTGAAGAAATGACACTGCTGCCTTTAAATGTTGGTGATACTGGTGGTTCTAAGGCTTTCAGTTTCTTCCATAAACAATTGCAAAAGCCAAAAACTACAAAGGGTTTATATGTTCACCATTGCGCTTGATTACAATCCAAGCTGTCTGCGTAGGAACAAGTAAAAGATGAGGTGGGAAAGAAAATGAAAGAAAGAAAGTGCCATTGTTATTACCATGGCGAAATGATTTTCCATGTGCCTGAATTACATGTTTATAACAAATACAATTAGGATTCATAACAACAAGTATTGAAGTAAGATTGAGACAAAACAAATTTGAGTTTTCTCCATCACAACTTATCAAAAAAAAGTAACAAACCAAACTTCACAAAATTTTATTATTTTTCATGTCTTACCATAGCTTTCTCTTGCTTTTAAAATGATCAGCTGTCATCAACAAGCCATGGGTGCATGGTATGGTAGCAAATCGCTGAAACTCCATCACAATTTTATTAAATATATATGGATACTGTAGTCGCAAATCAAATTGAGAAAAAGGAAAAGAAATTTTCCCTTCAAAATGCTCTTATACTACAATACTAAAAATTAATTAAATCAGTTCGCGTGGCCTAATGGATAAGGCGCTCGCCTCCGGAGCGGGAGATTGTGGGTTCGAGTCCCACCGTGAACGCGGTGGAATCAAGAAGAGGTTATTGTCACTGATACGTTAGCCCGTTTTGCGTTGCATGTCAATGCATATTTTAAAATATGTATTATTAATATGTTCTTAAATTATAATTGTAAAATATAAAAAAGTGAGTTTTTAATTAATAATTAATTCCATAATAAAGTCTCACATTTTTTAATATTAAAAAAGCTTAATTTGTGTGAAATTAAGTGAGTTTTTAATTAATAGTTAATTTATAATACTCATATACTTTTCTAATATTATAAAAGCTTAATTTGTGTGAAATTAAAAAAAATCTTAATTATAGAGTGAAAATTTTCATCAAAATAAATTAAAATATGAAAAAATATAACTAATCTTAAATATTTTAAATGTTAATTTAGAAATATAATAAATAATAATAATATAAATTAAAACATAAATATTCAATTAAACTCTTAAATTATTCAAATAAAATATTAAGATATTCAAATTTTAATCACTCAATAAGTCAAAATCTTTGAACTATAATTTAATTTGATAACTATTAAATTAAATTTTATTTAAATCTTGAATAATTTATAAATAACAATAAATCATTTACACCTCTATTTTTCTTCATAATAAATCCAGGACATCAAGTTCAAGGCTAAAACTAAGTTAGGGCCGGCTAAGGCTTAGCCTAGCCCAACTTGAAGATTTTATCAACTTTTAAAGTTTCTTATTCTTCTTTCTCTCCTAAATAAGAATCTTTATCAGAAATTCACCATTAACAACAAACCATTTAATCGATTAAAACATTAAATCCTATTTACACCATTTCTATCAATATTTTAAATAGTATTCAGAATTGTAATAATATTAATAGATTTACAATTACATACTGCAATGCTAAATATTTTAATTAATATTTTTATTAATTTTAACAAATATTTATGACTATTTATATAGCGCATATCTCAATTTTATTGGAAATAGATCTTTAATAACACTTAGGTGAAATTTTATTAAAAATAAAAGTCTAACACAACAAATTGCCATACCTATTAATTGAACTTTTAATCCTTATCTCATGTCCTTGGCCTATCATTCTATCACTAGAGTAATGCCTTGCCATAATCAACAATATGTTAATTACGTTATAACCTAAGTCATCATTAATTAACAAATAATGGAAATGGTTATGGCACTTTAGGTGTCATTTCATTGAGATATATTGCTTAAATTATTGCATTAAGTTTTAAGTAGATGCTTGCCACTTGCAAAAGTTGAGCTATTATTGTATTACTATCTTTCTTGTTTTTGTATTTTTTGTTCCAACATTTCTGCAGAGAATCTCATAATTTTATTTGCTCAAGCTAGTAGCAATGCTCATAGCACATAGAATTGATAGGGGAAGGTGGTATTCTTGCTTAATCTATTTGCAACTAGCACTATTTGATTCTACCATATTGATTTCAGCTAATTATTGTGATTTTTTTATGTTGGGTATCTTTTAAAATTCTTAGGGAAAAATTTAAACCTCATATCGTTTACAGCACTGGAATTGAAAGAGACAAGAATGACAACCCAAAATCAAATCATGAAATCCTTTAAATGCCTAAATATTGTTGAAGATAAATAATTTTAACAATTAGACTTTATTTTTTCAACTTGAAAAGTTTAGATTCAAATAAAGAGAAATAAAATGAACTCGAAGATTAATTTAAATGGTTCATTCATCTTTTTTAAGAGTTAAACTTTCGCAAAATTAAAATTTGATTTATAGTACTAACAATTCTTCGTCTTTTATCCATAGATTTTGACTTCTGTTTGAATCAAAATAAGAATAAAAATAAAATTCATAAAATAAAATCTAACTATTGGAAAAAAAAAGACAATAACGAAAGTGAATAATTGCCATCAAACCGCATTATTGGTTGTAATCAAAACGAAATGGGAAATCAATATAAAAGAATTTTAGTCGACATTACATTGGTAATCAATTGAATCTAGCATAAAATTCATTAACTTATAACCTCGGATTATCTATAATAAAATATTGTCTTTGACGTCCTACATCCACCTTAAGCATACTTTCTCACATATGATAATTGTAAAATAGTAGTATATACTCAAAAAGAAATAATCGAGATATACTATATGAACTAGCTAAATGATTCTATTCACAATTATTAATTAATTTAATTTAATACAAAGACCAAAACCTATTAGCAAGCATGATTGCACACCATGCTTTTAGGTCAGCACAAACCTAAGCTAAGAGAACGTTATTTGAAGTGGACATGATCATACAACATAATCCATTGATAAATTAAACACAAATCTATAGGAAAGAATAATAATTCATTATTAAAAAAATTAAATTATTAACATAAATTCATATTATTAAAATTCAAAGTTTAATTCAATTAATTTATACAATTATCTTTTAAGAGATGACATTTAGTAAATTTTTAATTCGAATATTAACACATGCAACTATTATCCATATCTTTAGATTACAATCTCTTTTATAAAAAAAAAAAAAATCATACAATTATGTTTTTTTATAAAAAGTAATGGTTAAAACTTGAGATTTCAACACTTTATTACGTTTAAACATTTAAATTTTATAGTAATATTAAATAATATGTGATTGTTGATAAGACTCATAAGAATTAATGTAGTTCCAACCAAAAAAAAAATAGAAATTGAATTTTCGCATGACAAATGTTGTTAACAAACGTAAGGCCTGACATAAGTAATCAAGGGGTGACACACGCACATATATATAATATAATATAATATAAGTTATTGGATGATAACATCTATAACTTTTCTAAACGAAAAGTGTTGGAAGTTCGAATTAGCGGGAGAGATAATATAATATATTTTTATTTTTGGGTACAATTTTAATCACGAATTTTTTAAATTTTTTTTTGTTTGATTTGTTATTAGTGGTCAAAGATGCTTACTATTTGTTTGATTTGTTATTAGGGTTATGCTTTCCTGTAAAAAAAAAAATGAAAGGCAAAGACCATAGGAATGCTGTAATAAGTTTCCCCCCATAGTAGAATTTAATATTCTAATTTTCTCCAATTCAATTTTCAATCAGTCCACAGCAATTAGATTTAAATTAATCCTTGAGTCAATTTACCTTGATAAAGGTAAATGTTTTTTACTTTTTAACCGACTTCAGATATTGAAGTTTAGATTTAATTTAACACATCAACCTAATGAAAATGACAAGATTTTTATTGAGTAAATAACATATGAATGGTTTTTTTTTTTTTTAAAAAAAAATTCTTCCCATATCGGTTTAAATAGAATTATTTACATTGAATTTAATAAATTTATAAAAAATTATTTTTTATAACCTTTCGACAAATTTAAATCCAAATAAAAAAAAACACATTTTTTATACTATTTCAGCAAACCATTCGTTAGTAAGTGATGAGTGCTTTTGGCATGGCAAATTTGGTGTTATTCCACTGGCAAAGCTTAATTTATTGCAATCGATTAAAGTAAATGCATGATCCTTACTAGAAAAATGGAAAAAACTATTGTACAATGTATCTTTCCCATTTGGTTTTCTCCACTTCATCAAGAATCTCATAGAGCCCTAAACTAGGTGGTGAGTGGTGGGGGAGGTTTTGCAAAGTATTAGTTATATTTTTTATATTTGAATTTTGAAAAATATATAAATTAGTATTTTAAAAAATAAAATATACAATTTGTATCTTAATTTTTTATAAAATGTACAATTTGTACTTTGAACTTACAAGTTATGTATCATGATAATCTAAACTCTAATTCCGCTAATCATATCAACTTATGTATGAGGTGTTTGACAAATATTATTAAAGTATTTATTCACCATACATATTATAAATATTTTTTTATAAAAATGATCTAATTTTTTTTACTTGAAACATAAAAATTGTTTAGGGGATCAATTAATTATTATTTATCACGTGATATCCACATTATATTTTTATAAAAACATTTAATATTTTTATAAAAATAATATGTATATAACGAAATTATTCTAGTTCAATATCATATAACCAAGTTAAATTAATAATTTTAAAATTTAGATTAAAATAATACATAATTTTAAAGTTTTAGGTGTTAATTGTATATTTTATTTTTTTTAAGTACTAATTTGTACATTTTCCCAATAAGCATGTATCAAAAATTTAATTAACTCTTTTGCAAATGAAAGTGGATAAAAATAGCACACAGAAATACATGATCTTTCTAGAATATGATACATTTTGTTTGAGCAATTTATTTATTTAGAATTTCATATATGTCCAAATTTATCTGAAATCAAGAGAGTTTAATAAAATAATGTGATTTAAAAATAAAATATTCAAATAATATTTAATAAATTTGAAATTTAAATTTTAATATTTGTAATTCATTGTAAATAATAATAAAAAAAACCACAAACACACTGTTTTTTTTTTTTACCATATTGCATTGTTTTGGCCCCAAATTAAGAAGTGTAATAGGCCTTTTGCACTTGATATATTTCCCATAAAATTTTAGCCAAAATTATATAAAAGAAAAAGAAAGGCCTTATCCACATGCAATACCCAATTTTCTATTCAAATTGATGCCCTTTGCTTTAATTATATCACTTAATATTATTACTCCTCCACAATGGTTAAATGATCTCAAAAATATGTTTCCAACTCCCACATGACTTATTTTTTTAACCAAAAGCTTGGTTCTTTCCTCTTTTTTTTAGGGTATCTAGAACTAAAAAAATTAGACCTTGTAAAAGAAGAAAACATATCTTTTAAAGCCAGTGAAGAAGCTAAAGAGTTTCTGATTTATTTGAAAAGTTGTGATTGTGGAGACATACCTGCCTAGCTATCTGCCTAGGATCTTGTTTAATCAATCATAAATTCTGATTTATTTACTATTAATTTTATTGATGTTTATTATTTATTTTTTTAAAAAAAAAATCAAAAAAACTTTATTTAAATTATGTCATCAGTGATATCTAATTTTTTTCCAAAAAAATTGCAAACATGTAATTATCTTAAAAAATAATATTCAATAAATCTAGAATTTAAATCTTAATATTTATAATTTATTTTCTTATCTCAATTGTGACCTTTATATAGAACAAAAAAATTGCAGGCCATGTCAACTTCAAAGGTAAAAAAGTTTAGATGTCTTCTTCAACTAATTTCAGCCTATTTTTTTTTTTTTTTATAAGTATTCAACATTTCTATATTGGTGAATAGAAGTCAAATTGGACTTGATCTTATTACCTCTTTCATGAAGGATCAAAATCTAAATTATGAATTCTTTTTTTTTTAGCCTTACGCAAAACTGGAAGGCAATCAAATTGATGCTTGCCAACTGTTCCGTAAATAAGACGTGTCACTTAACTTTCGTTGTCAAAGGAATTAAAAGTGCCACAAAGTTTCCACTAAAGGAGTGAAGCAAAGAAAAGGTGATTGTTGCCATTGGCTGCTTAACCAAAATAATTGAATTAAAGATGTGAGAAGTGGACTTTGTTTTTATCTTTCTGAATGAATATATAATACAAATTAAAGTTGATCCAGAAACAATGAATGGACCACATCATCTTCCATCTTCTTGGAGACATGACACATGGGGACGTGCCCTGTGAAAAAAACACCAATGTTTTAAGATCAGATCAGCTATGGTGAGAGAGGACAATAATGGAAGAAAAGAACTGACGATTTTGACAAGTTCTTTTCTTCTCTTTTATTTACTGATCGTTGATGGAGGGAAAATTGGCAGTGAAAGATCTGTGTCGTGAAGCAAATTAAGTGCCAATTTGGATTTACCGGTGGGATTGAACTTGTTATATGATTAGTTGAATTTAAATATTAATATTTTCAGTATAAAATTTTTATTAAAATTTTTTTTAATAATTTTTATTTTTAATTATAATTATAATAATTTTTATTATTATTTTTAATCTTACCGTCACGAAAACGAAGCTTAAATTTTCAAGGTTTTTAGGCTCAATTTTTTTTTCCTTTATCTCTTCATTGACAATTATACCAAGCAAATGCAAATTAATAATTATTTTTTTCAAAAAAATTAGTGATTTATCTAAGAAGGAAAAAAGAAAAATATTAATCTGCTTTAAAAGCACTTTTTCAAAGAATTTTATAATTAATGTATTGTTCTTATTAAATTTAATTAAAAATAAGGTGTTAAATAAGAAAATATTTCTTAAAATAGTATAAATGTCTCTAAATTCCATGAACAAAGTTATGCTTTACTTTCTCTTTTTTTATTAAAAATTTTTTTTTATTTTTTAAAATTTTAAAAAATCATTGTAAGTAATAATTATATCCTTTTTTTTAATTATAATAAATTCTTGAAATTTATTCAATACATCTCAATTCAAATCGGTTCAAACATATTTATTTATATTAAATCTAACAAATTCATAAATAATTATTTTTTTCAATCTTGCAATGGGCTCACAAATTGTATTTCCCCACATTTTATTTTTTTAATATTAAAAAAAACTCCAACAAAAAAACAAACAATTAAAAACCAAACTTTCTACAGTTGAAAACTCCCATCTAATCGCTGATTTGATTACAGTTTTTCCATTGTCCCAAACAAGCAAACGTGTTGTATCTTAACTGGCTTCCTTCTTGAATCCCCCTTTCTTTCTCTTTAGCCACCGAATATTCCTCTCAACAATTCCTTCCTTCCTTCTCTATAAAACTAACAAAACTAAAAATTAGTTTAATTAACTTCCAAGACCAAAACCAAAAAAAGACCAAAAGCCATCAAAAAAATCGAAAAAAAAAGAAAACCCAGATCCAAAAAACCTCAAGAACCAAAATAAAATGACTGAAACATTGAAGAACAAGTACCAAGTATGTGAAGAGATCGGAAGAGGGCGGTTTGGAACAATATCTCGGGTGTTTTGTCCTATAACCGAAGCCTCATTCGCCTGTAAATCCGTTGACAAACGCCTTCTTACAGACCCCATTGACCGAGAATGTCTAGAAAACGAGGCTAAGATCATGACCCTTTTGGCTCCAAACTCTAACATCGTACAAATCCACGACATGTTCGAATCCGAAGACACCCTTCAGCTCATCCTCGAACTTTGCCAGCCTTACACTCTTTATGAGCAGATTTTACAACCAGATTTGTCTGAATCCAAAGCTGCTTCTTACATGCAACAGATTATGTCAGGTTTAGCTCATTGTCACAGGTTTGGGATTGTTCATAGAGATATTAAACCTGATAACATTTTTTTTGACTTTAGAAGTAAGTTAAAGATAGGTGATTTTGGTTCTGCTACATGGTTAGGGGAGCTTGGCTCGGTCGATGGGGTGGTCGGGACGCCGTATTATGTTGCTCCGGAAGTTGTGATGGGCAGAGCATACAATGAGAAGGTTGATGTTTGGAGTGCTGGTGTCGTTTTGTATGTTATGTTGGCTGGTGTTACACCGTTTTATGGTGAGACAGCTGAGGAGATTTTTGAGGCTGTTTTGAGAGGGAATTTGAGGTTTCCTACAAGGATTTTCAGGTCAGTTTCTGCCGAGGCTAAGGACTTATTGAGGAAGATGATTTGCAGAGATGTTTCTAAAAGATGGTCTGCAGAACAAGTTTTGAGTAAGTTTTTCTTTTCTTTTGCTTTTTTGTTGATTTTTATCTGTTTGGTGGATTTTGGTTTTGAATTGAATTGAAAATTGGGATGACTTGGTTTTGGTTTCTGATTTTGAAACTTTCTTTTTTCTTCCTGGAAATTATCAGATTTCAAAAATCCGAAGACCCAAAACTTGATCATGTTTTCCTCATCTAACAACTTTATCAGCATCCAAGTAAAGAATTAATTGTTAATTCTTCCTTGTTCTGAAATGCAGGGCACCCCTGGATCTTGAATGGAGGGGAAACAACTTCAATGGACTGAATTTAACATTGAAAAAAGCTGGAAATTATCAGTCAAAAGCAAAGCATAATAGCTTATCAATGTAAATATTTAGGACCGCCTATCAAAATCCCTTAAGAGGACGGGTCACCAGCTTTTCTTCTCAACAAAGTAAAAGTCAAACCAGAAACTGCATGATGGATACTTCCACAGAATCAAGTTTTCCAATGCCACGGAAGTCACATAGAGAACAGAGTTTCTTCACATGGGGCTCAACCACTATGAACCTACCAGTCATTTTTAGTACTTTTTTGGGTTTTTTTTTAATGTTTTAAGAAGGAAGCAAGAGAGTGTACATAGATAAACAGTAGGTTGAGAATCTTTCTTGTCTGTCTTTCCCCACCTGTACTTTTCTTTTTGTTAATGAAAGTATGTAAAGAAGTGAGAAAGCCTTGAAAACAAGTTGTCGTTGTTGTTGTTTCTCTTCTGCGTTTTTATGTATGGGAATCTAGTGTACTTTTTTTTTCCTAAGAAAATGACTCCTTGAGCAGAGAAATTCGATCCCCAAATCTGAATTTTCTTTTGATTTCATTTTGGAATCTGATTTTGCATCTTTTGGTGGTCCAATGTAATATATAGCACATACAGATGTACTGAAGAAAATTGGCTATGGAGGTTTTCAAGGAATCTGCAGAATTCTAATCAGGCATGTAATTGTGAACTGGCAGCTGGCTATTCTTTCCATATCGACATTTGACAAAAGTAACTAATATGAAATGAGAGGTTTAATTGAATAATTTTTTACTTTTTCCACCCACCAAAGTCATTGGGAGGAGTTTGCCTGCTAAATAATCAATATAGTGGGGGACAGGCTTTAGCATATGCCTGGTTTATTCCCTTTTCTCTGTGCTTAATATGAAGAAGATGTCTTTAGTTGAAATATGAGGATAAAGAAAAAAATTATAAATATTAAATATTAAAATATAAATTTATTAAATTTAAAAATTTAAAAATAATTTTATGAATGAATTGAATTAAGCGCTGAATTCAATAAATCTTTACCTTTTAAGTTTGGAGTCACACTGATGAGAAATGGTCAAACTTTCAATCTGAGACTTTATATTAATGCAAAGAAAATAAGATAAAATTATTTAAGATTTAAGGTGAAAAAAGAGAATTAATTGAAATTTAAAACCATTAAATTTTACACAAAATTTGAAGTGTAATTAAGATGCTAGGTGGATGAAATTAATGAAAGAAAAAATTGGAATACTATGCTTATCATCAGGGCTTGTATAAGAGAAAGCAAATAAATACATACTTTTTTTTTTAATTCTCAAATCTTATTATCTAATTTTGTTACAACTTTATGTTATGCTTATTAAATCAATCTAATCTAAAAATGAGTTTGTATGAAGTCTTTACAAATGTTCTCAATTAATTTTTTATAATATAATTAAAGTATTTATGATTTTTTTGGGTCTATTTCTCTTTTTCGAAAATTCTAAAATTGTATTCTTCGCATTTGATTTGATACGTCTAAAATTTTTTTATTTGAAATTGATAGAATTTAAATTTTTATTATTAAAATTAAAAATTAAAAAAGATGCAAATGTGGTGAGATCTGAAGGCAATTTGTAGTTTTAAATGGTAAAATCACTTAGGTATGAAACAGAGCTGAAGGATTCCATGCAGAAAAAAGATATGAATTTGTAGATCAGTAAAGTAACATATCAGGTAGTTGATACAATGTAAAGTGTTCACATGGGATGGGAGAACATGTTTGATAAGTTATCAGTTTATCACAGCTTGTTTGTGAGAGAAAATTTTGGGTATTTTTTATTTGAGCGAAAGAAAAGGTGCACCAATTCCACATATTTCAATTTGCAAATTCATGCTTTTTAAATTTATTGAGAAATTTTGATTTTATTTTAATTCAAAATTTATAATTTAATAATAGTTTTGAAACCAAACTAAAGATATCCAAATAAATATTTGATGCTAATGGGATTGCGTATACAAACCTATGTTTCTAATTGAACATATCAATAATTAGATATTAAAAATTTTATTTAGAAATTTCAAAATTTAAAGATGAAAGAATTATTTAATTTATAAAATACAAGAAAATTATTTTTAGTCTTGTAGCTTAAATTTTAAACTCAAAATTTAATTCAGTTATTTTATATAATTTCATTTAAAATGTAATAAATAACAGATATAAAATTTAAATCTTTATATCTATTATCTTTTTCTCTATTCTTATTTTTCAACTGAATAAAGAATTAGGCAATTTAGAAAATACCAAAAAATTATTTTTCATCATGTAACTAAACTCTAAATTTAAAATTTAATTCAATTATTTTATATAATTACATTTAAAGATAATATTTAATAAATTTAAAATTTAAATCTCAATATTTATAAATTTTTTATTTTCATTTTATGGCCAAATAAAAGAGTAGTATTTTTTCAAGATTCATTCCTATACCTTCCTCAATAAAAGAGTAGTACTCATTAACTATTTAAAGACAACAACTCCATCAAATCTTACACCTACTCCATGTCGCACCTGCAAAATTTAGGTCCTACCCATGTGATGCTCTAAAGCTTTTTCTTCAAATATTTTCTTAAATCTATGGATAAATCAAATTATTCGTGGTTCAAGGGCTCAACCATGGTCATTGTCAATATTCCTGATCTTTTGTCTTGGCCGTTGATTTTGTTATAAAATTTTTGGAAGTTTAATTGGCTCATAGTGAAGTTCCAAAATCTTTTTTTTTTCAGTCATGAATCATAATTTAAGTCGAATTAAACTTAAAAAGAAAGAAAACTAAAGTATTTTCATTATTCTTATTTGAATTCAGTGACATCTATTTTATGAAATTTGAATTTAATTAATGCATCCAACCAATAATAATGAAGATATTGGAGATGGGAAAAAGCAAGCTCTTCCATGCACAAATTGAGTTATACAAGTCTTTCATGAATCATGTAAAACAATAAGTTTTATGAAAAAGAAAAGAAAAGGGCCTAAAACTGTAAACTGAAAAACAGTTTAAAATAATGGAGCAGAGATCAAGCCACAAGTAAGCCAGGGAGGGTTCGGTTCTGTACTACACTAAATGATTTTTCGAGGATTTGTCAATGCAATGCTGTTTTTTAAGAGCTTGCGTGCCTGAAATTTGCTTACAGATGTGGACGTGTCTGTGGGGCAGCAGATTAGAATTCTGATATTGAAATTGTAGGGCTGCTCTTTCTGGAACTCATGAAAGAAAGTTAAAGAAAAAAAAAAAGGCCATTTTCTTTGACCTTTGATAAGCCATCCTTACTCCTCAGTCAGTCCCGAAGAATTCTACATTGTATACCGTTATTTGTACTTACTGACACGTTTTTGTTTGTGTATTTCAACATTAACTTTATAGGTGGAATGGCTCAAAATCCACGCTAAATATCATGATTATTTGCTTAAATTACTTTTATTATTGAGTACCTATAACAGTATTATTTTTTAAAGATATATGAAGTAGGAATGGTATCATTCTATTCGAATTAATTTGATTTAATTTTTAAAATATTATATAATATTATAAAAATTTAAGATTCGATTTAAATTCAAATAAAATTAAATTTTATTAATTCAGTTCATTTTGATTTATTGATTTTTAATTTTTAATTTTTTAATATATATATTATTTTAATATAAAATTTTAATATGTTTAAGTAGATTTAAATCTAAAATATTATTTTATTTTTTAAAAATTTAAAAAATATATAAAAATTAAAAAATATATATAATTTGATTTAATTCAATTTTTTTAAAATTTTCAATTTCTTCGATCTAAACTTAATATAAATATTTAATATTTAAATTTAATTCAAATAAAAAAAATTGATTCAATCCGAATCAAATATTGTGATTTCAAATCTATTTTTAGATTTTTAAAATTTTTTTCTTGACCCTAATATAAAGTAAACAAATTCTTAAAAATTTCAAGATATGATTAAATGTATTACATTTGAGTTAGAGCAAAATCATACATTTAAAATTATCAAGATAAAATAATAATTTGAATCCAAATTCAATTGATTCTCGATTCATAATTACTATAATAGGTGAATTGCACTCGTAATCATTAATTTTTGAGTCAATTTAATTTGATTTTCGACCAATTTTAAACTATTCAATTGTAACAATTTATATGTTAAAAGTTTAAATTAAAATGATTAAAGTTCACAAGTACATTTTATTTGTGAAAAGATTGTAATATCTTATTTTTTTTGTTTTTCCTTTCTAAAACAAGAATGAATTTTTTCCGATACCAATTTTCCCATACCTTAGGCAATAGAGGCGGTCCATTAATTTTAACATTTGCTAATTTCTTTTCCTAAATCCTGTTCCAATTTCAACAATGGATATCCCATCGCGGGAGACAACGTGGGCATTGGACAGGACAGGTAACCTAACTTGGGAGGACAACATATGAAATTCAAAATACCCCTATCCTCCTCTACCTAAACAACACTATTATTCATAAATATATATAGTATTGTTTTTGATTTGATTGGGACAAACAAATCCAGTAGAGCTCACACGTTTTGGAGTTATTAAGGTTAGGTCGGACAATGAGAGTTTTAGATCAGTGGAATTCTGACCAAACAATAATAAAGAAAATGAGAATTAGCTTAATAAGTATATTAAAATAGTTATATGAATAATATATAATCATGGGTGTGTTCTTGCCCCATGTTTTGCTTAGTTATTTATTGACTACAAAGCTCAATTAATTTTTTTTATATATAAAAAAGGTTGTAATTGAAATTGAAAATTTAAATTTATTAAATTTTATTTTTTAAAAATAATTGAATAAATTAATTGAATTAAATTTTAAATTTAAATTCAATTGAAATTTATTTCATTGGTTTGACTATTTTTATTAAAAAAAATCTCCATATTGAAATTCAATCTTAGAATATGGGTTTGAAATATAGTGATTCTAGAACCCAATTTTCTCGGAAAAATTTTTGAGAAAATTAAAAACGTAGGGTGAGGAGTATTAAAGATAAAGCCTGGAAAGAGAAGTGCTTGCACTTATACCTGTACGTCAACGCAATTTTCGATTTAATTATCGGGGTTTGGAATATGCTTTTATTGTATGAAGCATCTTTGACTTTTTTGTTAGATGAGAGAGCTTGAAAATTGCTACCCAAGTAGCTATCAAAGTGACTCAAATTCAGGTTCACGTTTAAATCAATAGCTTTCACGAAACCTTATTTTCTGGAGTAGAAAAAACTCAAACAAGTTGATACGACTTAACGTAAAGGGTTAAAATTTAAAATTTAAATATAAAATAATTAAATTTAAAATTTTTTAATTTTTTATTAGTGATTAATTTGTAAATTCAAAAAATTTTAAAAAATTCATAAATTATCTTGTAACTTAACGATTTATCTTAATTTTAATCTTTCATAGTCTTAAATTTTACTTGACCAAAAAAAAAAAAAAACTCAAATAAATATTTATGGCTCAAAATAAAAAGATAGAAAAAGAGTAGATGAGATAAATTCCATGCAAATATCACTTAATTAATTTAAAAAAAACCTATAATCAATTCAAACATTCGAATATTTGATTTAGTTGATAAAGCATAATTTTCTTCTTCAAAGATTAAAATTAAATCTCATTTTTTCCAAATTAAAAAATAGTTGAAGTTAAAAGTTTTTTTCCTACAAAATAATAGTTGATTAAAAAAAAAAGTCACTTCTTCAAACCATTTTTTTGGTATCCAATATTTTCTCTTTAACTTAATCATGATAAAAAAAAAAAATTTTTACGTAAAAAAAAAATCGAAATCTTTCAATTTATCACATTGAAAGTTAATCAAAATGAAAAATTAATGACAAAATTCCTTTCTCCTCAAGATCATTTTGCAAACAAGTGAAAAAAAAAAAAATTCTGATTAGCAAGGGATTCAATAATAAAAAAAAATGGCAAATTGCAATCTATATACAATTTATTAAAGTTTTCCAACATAGATGAGGACAGCTAAAAGCATGGGATGGGAATATTCTCTTCTTCCAATTCCTCAAAATTTTTTTTATTCTTTAATTTATAACTTATCACAGAAGAGTGTGGAACATAGAGTTTCAATTTTATTTTAAGAAACAAATTGATGAAAAATTAAGAGTAAATAACCATATAATATATGATTTAATTATTATAATCTTCGGGATGATTCCAGAATTATATCAGACTTAGAAGGGTAACAACGTGAGAATATTAAAAAAATTAAACAAACAGAAAATTTTCATTGGCCCATTAATAATAAAATATTCTTCAGATATTAAAAAATATACTACTTTAATAGATAGAAATATAATAGAATTTATTTGATTTCTTTTAAATTCTTTTACCAGCTTTTGAAAACAAGTAAAAAATAAAAATAAATAACGAAAAAGTAAATGTATGGGTGCTTAAATTTTTTTTTTCAAAATTTCTTTTTTTTTTATTATAAACAAAAAGTCTTTTTTTTTTTTATCAAAATTATATTTGGATAAAAACAGCTTGCAAAAAAATTTAAAATATATAGAATTGGTTTGAATGAATGGCCATAACATATCCATTTTATGTAGAAGGGTTTGAAACAACTTGTGTTGGCTTAATCATACTATTATTGTATATGATTTGCTATGATAAAGATATAATAGTAGCAATAATTGAGAAACAAATCAGTTAATATATAAGAAAAAAAAGTTGATGCCATTAAACAGTGAATAAATATGAAATTTAATAAAGAAGAAAAACTCTTCAAATAATTAATAAAAAAGTAAGATATTTGACTTCTTTTTTTTTGTTTTTTATGATTTACTTTTAAGTATGATAACATATATATTTTTTAAAATACAATAAAAAATGAAAAATGAAAAATAATTTTTTAATCTACTTGTAAAATTAAAAAATTTTCACTATCATTATATGTCTGTATCAAAAACCCAACTCTACTCACTTTTGGACCGAATTCCTATAGGAAGAATTGAAATTCAATTTGATTTTGAACTGCTAAAATAAAAACAGCCAGGGTTGAAACAATTAAAAGATGATGCGGAAGAAGTGAATTTTTCTTGGACCCAATGATCAAACTTGAACTTGTGAACCTACCTGAAGCCAATTGGTTTGACTTTTTTTTTTAAAATGAAATTGGGTTTTCTTTTTGATGAATGAATGTGCATAAAGATTTTGAATTACACAAGGAAAAATAATTTAATTCTCAAATTTAATTCTATATCTTCAAGAAGAAATATCAAGTTTAAACTGCTAAATTGTAAACCTTGGAATTGGATATGGATTTTCCATTGTTCTCAAGTCTTCTTTTTTTGCTTTCCATAAGAAACCATTGTTCTGAACATTTTATTTAGACATGGATCTTCATAAAAGAAAATGATGAAAGATTCATTAACAGAAAAAATAATCCTTTTTTAGGCACACAAGAAGCAAAATGCTTGGTTTTCAATCATTCCCTCTAGACTGTCGTTCAATTTTGCAAAAGTTTTGGTTGCCAACGTTTCCAATGACAATGATTCAATCTTAAAACTTTCAACTTCACAAAAATACATAAATGGAATGATCAAAGGCTTGTATACTTGTGCATGCAAGTATTTTACTGTTGCAGCATGCAACAATCCAAAGATTTTGACAGTTTTTCAAGTTTATCAGCAGCAACATCTTCAATTACCAGATTGTATGAAATAGAAAAAGTTTCAGAGAAATGAAGCATGAGAATTGTACCAAATTCATTTTGCTGTCCCTGAAATCACCAAGAATAAGGCCATTAACTGTTCTGACACACTTCATGGTCTCAGAGCAGAATGAGCGAAACCTTAACCTCAACAAGCTAATAAATTCATAGCAGCAACTGTAGCAGCTATTAGTGTACAAGGAGGAAGAGAAGGAAATTACAACCTTCTACCTTCAAACCCAAATTTATATCAGAGAAACAATCTTCTTCATTAGTTTCTAATGATTTTTCTCTTCCATTTTTTACAATTTGAGCATATTATATTGAAATCAAAAGGACCTTAAGTTTTCTTAACTGCAATTCGCATGTGTTCGTTGTGTAACCGGGCTCTGGCTTCTATCCTGCATATGCTGCTTTCATACCTTTGTACCAAGGAATGACTGCAATGAAATAGAAAACAATTAGGGAAGTTAGCAAAAGTTGAATGCACTTAGTACATGCCACCTGCAGAAATAATAGGAAAAGTTAAAACTTATTTAGGCTCCCTTTGGCTAGTGCTTTTGCTCTTTGCTTTTTGATTTTTGTCCCTTGATTTGCAGTTCATTTTTTTCTTGTCACTTTCTATTGAGAAAAGCAAAAAACAAATAGTAAAAGCATCAACCAAATGGAGCCTTGGCACTTTGCATATAACACATAAAATCAGATGATTCAAAGTAGTCTAGTAAGATGATAACTTTTTTAATACTTTTAGTGTATACTACATACAAGCAGATGATGCAAAACTAGTAATCTCAAGAATACTTCTTTCCTATTTCCTACTTAAAAGTTCCAAAATAAGAGGAAAAAAATTGACAAAAAAAAAAGAAAAAAGAAATGAAATATGCAGCAAACCACAAACTGTTTTGGTTGTTATTATAGTAAAAGGTATCCAAAGAGTTGCACATTCAATCATTTCCCCTCATTTTATCTGTATCCTAATCTCCTCTACTTAGCAGAAGCAGTACTAATATTGTATCAATGAATCTGCAACAAGAATATAATTCTTGGACTTTAACTATATTCAGCATTAAACCCAAAGTAATTTATTTCCCAGGCAAATAACGCCAAAAGCAAAAGGAGAACTTTTAGACTGAATCAGAAAAATAATGTGTTAATATGTGTTATATGATAAGCACTTCAAATGAATATGAGGAATGCTTCAATGCTAATCTAAGTAATCAGGAATCCTTGCTAAAGAAATGTTCTGATATTAAGGTTTCAGTATTGATGCAAAAACCCCAGAACAACCTGAAACCATACAAGCATAACAGGGTTTAGGTATGAAACTATGAATTGAATTCCAAACCCAAACTGGAGCTGAAGTCTAATCGAAACAGATTCCAACAGAATAGTCCTATGCTTAGGGGCCAGAGCTAAAATGGGATAAAGGTTCAGACTTCAGACAACTAAGTACAAATGGAATTAGAGCTTAGCCAATACCTATAGCAACATGCATAGACCATTAACATCTCCACATGCTACACTCGTACCAAAACAACCTAACCTCTACCCAGCACGCCATTCATTTACTAACAACGTCTAGGACCCACAAAATGCCATAAAAATTAGTTTATCACTTCCACCACAGTGACACTACCACTGAGAATTACTGCAAAAGATTATGATTACACCAAAGTAGAACTCTACCCCATTTTTTGAAACGATTACTTTATCAATTTGTACCAACATCACAATCATCTATTCACAAACATACTGAATTACTTTAACAAATGATGACAATATCATCGTTTAAAGATCAAAATAAAACAAAAGCAGATACTAAAACTGACATAAAGTTAAATTCAATTTAACCAACTATAGATAAGACTTTGTCACATCTGCAACAACTCTAATACAAAGCCAAGAAAATAATAACTTATAGTCCCGAACAAAAATGAAATGTATTTAATGATTTCTTGTAAGGTAATACCAATATTGGAAGATACAATGTGAGAACCATAAGTGATGCCAAACATCACGCACTCAGTGCCTATATTCCATTGGTTGACTTACGTAATTGAAGATCTACTATGGCATTTACCTTGACTCCACCTGGAGTGTTTCCAGGCTTTGCTGTGGTTGTGCTCCCAAAGACACCTGTTGAAGGGTTCCCAGGTTTGGCTGTGGTTGTGCTCCCTAAGTTAAACTTTGACTTCTTATCTGCAGGTTTTAATATTTGAAAGGAGCACATCAAAGTCTCATCCACACTCATCATGGCTCCAGCATTATCAAACTCCCCACAATAATTGGGTGCTGAAAATATAGTTACAAGTTGTCGGTTGGCAAAGAACTCATAGCCATCCTCCACAACCTGCACATAATATATTAGAAAATTCCTAAACAAAAGCAAAAGTAGTTAAGCTCGCAATCGCACCCTCTGTGATTAAAAGTTACTGTTGAGAATGTATCAACAGTAGCTAAAACCAATTACAGAAGAAACTGCTGTTTGTAACACAGTGAAAAAGTATGACATTCCAAGAAGGCAATGTCAAAAGTTCAAGACCTGTTGGAAACTAAGAATAAAAGTAATTGCATAGCATGGCATAAAATACTCATAAGTTTCAGAATAAAACCAGCTACACCAAATGAAATGTGCACTGGCTCCTGCTGATACATTCTTCTACAACCTGACTAACAACAGAGGATATGAACAAGAATATGTGAAACAGAAAGTGAGCAGCTAGAACAAGTAAAACCTGGTGGGCACGGCAAATGAGATCTAAGTCATGATTTTGTAGAAACTCTGACACTTTGTCAGGAGCAAAAGTATATGAAACTCCCCTGTCGTTCATTCCCCAACCTTGAGCATCTTTACTGGGATCTGACCACAGAAGATCACAGAGCAAACCTGTGTCTGGTACGTCAGTTGGGCGTTGTAAATTTCTAATCTGATCCAAATTATTCAGATCAGGAGAAAGGCCTCCATGCATGCATAGAATCTTCTCATCAATTAGTGCTGCCACTGGTAGGCAGTTAAAACACTCTGTGAATGTCCTCCAAATCCTAACATTAAATCTTCTTTTACACTCATCATAGAAACCATATATGCGGTTTATGGAAGCACATTCATGGTTACCCCTCAAGAGGAAAAAATTTTCAGGGTATTTTATCTTGTAAGCAAGAAGAAGACATATTGTCTCCAGACTTTGCTTGCCTCGATCAACATAATCCCCCAAAAACAAGTAGTTGGCATTTGGAGGCAAACCACCATACTCAAAAAGCCTTAAAAGATCAGAATATTGACCATGAATATCACCTGAATGTCATTAACAGATTTCACAGGAAAAAAAAAAAATCAGATGTCTTCCCTACTTGTAGGAAAAGAATTATTTAAAAAAAAAAGTCTGAAATTACAACTAATATGATGAAAATGCTTTTCCCAAAATGCTCTCATGTATTAATAACACTTGTAGAATGACTGTGCTGCACATAAGTCAATTTCAAGTAATTTTGTTAAATGAATTAATTTTCATGATTATGCTGTCCTACAATGGATAATGTTGTGATGTTATCTTGGTTTAAAATTTTAAAAATGGCATATAATGCACACATATGTGTTTGTTTCAAAAGTAATGCAAGCACTCCACATGTCTGAAATATCGGCAGAGATGTAGTAAAAAGTTCCCTTTATAATGTGTGTAAAAGAGGCACATATGTAATGTAGATATTCAATCCATAGCATTATCTCCAATCAGGTAGTCCTGTAAAGTGTTTATGCTACACCAGTGGAAAATTATTACATATCGAGAGCCAAATCAGTAGCGTTTTAGTGCGGAAGATCCAAGAATCAAACATCAAGGATTATCTAAGTTGTTATGCATCAAATTCAGCAAGTAAACAAGCAGCAAAACATTCTAGACTTCTAGTTAATAATAAAAGAGCTCTTGGGACAAAAGACAATCAGAACATGAAGTAAATGTCAGGTTTATCGACTAAACCACATCACAAAATTTTTAGTAAACAGCAAGCATGACAAAACTAGATCATCAAGTAAACACTCATGCAAAATTTCTAAAAAATCCAGTATTGGACGAACTGTTCGATAGAATTTCCAGAAAATTCATACACCCAAGACACTTAAAATCCCAATTCCCCCACCAAAACAAAAGGCAGAATGGGGCAAACAGATAGATCATTGAAGGGAGAGGAATAACTAGCAAGCTACATGTAACATGTGCATTGTCACAAGTAATTAAAAGAAATGTGGTTGCAAGAAATTAATATAGCATAAATGAGAAAACTGACTAGATCGGTATTCAAGGATATGAAATTACCAGAAAGCTGAACAAAACATTAAGCAATTCAAGTCATAGGCTTAACAAAAAGAGTTGTTTATGGAAAAAGATGCATGTCTAGGTGTGTAAGAAAATACAATGTCATTGTCACATGCCCATATATAATCATTCCAAGACCACAAACTAAACAGACAACAACTCTGGAATCAAAAGAGCAAACAAGTCTTATTCTGAATTCAACACTCTGATCTAAACTCATACTGCAAATTCATTCAATGCAACAAAATGAAACATGCAAGACTGCCAATCACCATAGCATTTCGCACTAACTTGTTAAAAGATGAACAAAACCTTCTCCAAACTAAGCAACCAAAAGACCACAGCAAAACCAGGTCATCCATCTGAATTTTAGGAAATGAACACAATACACTCCACACTGAGAGATGAAGCCACACAGCCATTAACAAACCAACAAATTAAAACACCATTTGATAAGTCCATCAGAAACAAACTTGGTTTTACCTAATAACCCAATAACCATCCAGAATTACACAAGCAACCCACACCTAGAGCATACATTATTAGGGCTTTTTAACATAAAAAAGGTAGGATTTTTACAACTCTGAAAGACTTTGTAAACGAATTCATGCAAGATTAACTTACTATATTCCAAGTCAAAGCAAATAAAACACAAATAAAAAAACCTAAGCTAATAGCAAAAAACAGATGAATCAGTAATCATCAAGCAACTGCAAATCCCGGATAGTAAAAGAGAATCATAAATAGTTATAATTAAGCTACAAACGAAAACTGTAGCTCTCATGATATTGACCTTAGAGCCAAATTAAACTTCAAATCACCAAAACAAATCAAAATAAGCATATGGGTCATCAAAAAACCATAAACAAAAAATGGGTATTTAAGAAAAATAAGTGAATAATACCACAAATCTTGATGGGTGCTTCAAGTTCCAACAAATTAGGTTGTTGTAAGAAAATCTCTCTAGAAACCGTACAAAGTTGTCGGATCTCCGATTCCGATAGCTGCACTTGTTTCCCTGGTCGACCCCGAACTTCCAAAAGCCGATTTATAATATCATCAAGTATCCCTTGATCCATTTATCACCCACTATCTTTCTTCTTTCAACAAATTGGAGTCTGAGTTAAGCCCAAAAAAAAAAAAAAAGTCAACGGCTTTTTTTCTTTTCTTCTATGGGATGTGAAGGAGGGAAAGGGAAGATGAAGAGGTGCATGCCGTCGATGAAGAGGGAAGCGGAAACTGCGCTGTCGGTTAGAGAAGGAGTGTCGTTTTAGAGAAATTGAAACATTTCTTTCTCTTTTTTTTTTTTGTTCTTCTTTTTTGTGGATGGTTTTTGTTGAAAAGGATTATCACCAAAAGAAATGTGGGGAAATTTGTTTTTGAGAGAATTGGTGTATGAATGAATGACTGCTAAGCTATGAGCTGACTTCATACATGGAAAGAAGAAAGACAATTTCCTATAATCTAATCTAATATAGCTATTTTTATTTTTATTGTGTTAAAAAATAAATACTTGTTTAATAAAATAAAGAAAAATGTCTTTTTAAGAACAAATTTTGAATTATTATAATTTTTATACATAAATAAAAGATTGTAATTTGAAATAAAAAAATTACGGTGAAATATATATAGTAATATTAATGAAATTTGGGTTGAAATATTCAAAAAATTATTGAGTGTATTTTAATTTAAAATAATAATTTATTTATTTATTTATTATATATTAAAAAAATTTTAAAAATGAGAAGTCCTTTGAATTTTAATTTTAAAAAATAATAATTAATAAACAAATTAATTTGAGTTATTATGAATTTCATTCTAGCATAAAATCCTTCCTTATTTTTTTTAAAAGTATCTCAATAAAAGAAAAAAAAAATAGAATCAAATGAGAATTGTGGTTTATATAATTTTTAGTTGAGGAACACAAACAAAAAAAAAAAAAAACTGTTCAAATTAACACACATATCCAAGGAAGATATTATACAATAAAGATCATGTTGGCAATCATGACTTGTTATATGGAAGATTTATGAATTTTAAATGTGATTTAATTGGTTTATATATTTTAAAAAATAATATTTAATTAAAATTAAAATTTTAATATTTCTAATTTTTTTTATCTTTAAACTGTTGTATTTTTTATAAAAAAATGGATAGTTGATAATGATGATAAAATGATAAATGATTCTTTTGTAAGTAGTGAAAATCATCATTAAACACAATTTACAAGACAAAAGTATTTCCTAATTTTGTTTAAATAAAAACCCTTCTCCTTTAAATTAAAAAGAGACATAAAAGAGTGGAAGAAAGAACGTGGCAGCCCACTAGAGAGGAGGCTCCCGAATTAATTGAGTTGTGGGCCCTTCAAACTCCATTACAATAATCTAGATTTTACAGGAAGAAACTGGTGCAAGCCTCTTTTCAAAATGACTGATTTACCCCACTTGTGTTTGCACAATCTTTCATAGATTAGGACCCCAATTTAGTAAATTTTGTTAAATTAAACAAAAAAGTTCAAATGTGAGTCAAGTGGCTGCCATTGCGTAAATTTTACGGATAGTCACTAAATTTATACCCTTTTCCCATTTAGTTCATCAAATTTTAATTTGTTTCAATTTAGTCATTAAACTTTTTTAAATTGTATCCTATATGATCACCTTAACAAATTTTATTCAAATAGATGATGAGATAATGAAATGTAAATCATATTACAATAACAATATAAAAATATTATTTTAAAGTCAATATTTTATAAAAAAATGTGAAATTTAAAATTTTTTAAATAGTAACATTATTGGTCCTTAAACTTTGAATAAATTTTGTTTTAGTCCATCTTTTATCATGTGAAATATCCGTTGATGCCATTCATATGATGTTAGTTGACACTTATTGTCAATTTAAATGGTTTCATGATAGAAAGATTAAAATATGATAATTTTAGATAATTAGAATTAAAACTTTTTTAAAATTAAAATTATAATAAAATTTGACTCAAAGTTGAGAGATTGCAAATACTATTAACTCGTTGAACAAAGTAAAAGAAGCAAACTCTGACCCCAATCTATGCAATGTGAATTTCACTATTGCTAGTCTAGTGAAATAAAGATAAGAAAAGGTACCCAACTTTAATTACAAAAACAACTATCCAAATTTTGGGATGACCTAAATTCAAAATTAATCACGGTTTATAAGATTTAGCAAAATGTAACGGCATTCTCTATATTTGATCCAAATCAAATTAAAACCAAAATCAACATACCTTCGCTCTTAGCTCATAAAATTGTTAGAGAAATTAAGCATATATTAATTACAACAAAGGCTCAAATTATTGTTGTTGTACGAAATTAAGAATAATTATGGAATAATAAATATTAATGTTTAAAAAGTCTTTAGTCTTTACTTATATATTGTTTTATTATTGCAAAGAAGACTTTCTCATGATTTTAATCAGCACGTTAGATACTGTTCAAATATCAACAGTCACATTGCTAGCCATGAGTTTTGCATGAATCATTTTGCTTGAAAACTTCATGAGGTACGTAGTCTTGTGTGATTTCGTTGACTTTGTTGACAGCATTACCATGTCATGGACCGCAAGTGGATGATTAACATGCAAAATCATAATTTTTATATTAGAATTTTTTTTGTTTAATAATAAAAATAATATTAAAATAAATAAGTAATTATAATAATGAATAGAGCATATATATTATGTAGATAATTATTACATTAATCATTAAACTATGTTTAGTTTCTTAATTAGCTTCCTGCTATGCAATATATATATGTTCAAGCAAGATCAGCGTACTGACTATTAGGTAAGGAATCAGTCATGTCGTTAACGGCTTTTAGCCTATTATTGAGGCTCTTTCGATGAAGTTTGGGCTGTCATGGCTGCCCTTTGTGCGTCTTTGAAATTGTAGGGTTTGGTATTTTTTTGGTCAATTTGGGTTTGTTATATATATTTGGCTCTCTTTCCTAGTGGAAGTCTGTTAGGCTTAGTTTGCTTACGCCTGAATATGATTTTTAAAAATTTTTTTTTCTTTTATTAACAAAATCATCTTGTCTTTAGTAATATAAATTTAACTTAGTTAATTTATGTAATAACTTTTAAGAAATAGCATTCAAATTCGAAAATCACATTCTTAATATGATATCTTATAAAAAATAATAATAAAATTAATTCATATAATGATTTTTAAAAGATAACATTCAAATTCGACAATCATATACTTAATATGAAATCTTTTAGAAAATAATAGTAGAATTTTTGTGAATGAGAATTATATATAATTAATTTCATAAAATAAAGGACTGAAAAGAGAAATGATATTTTTGATGGGTAATCCCAACGAGTGAGCCAAAACTTTGAGAGAGAGTATGCCCATAAGTACAACATTAAATATAAACATACTTGAAGCTTTAATATTGGCAGTAATAGCAGCAATAATATATATATTGTTCACCAGAATTACTACTAAGTTGTCATAGGAGGCTGTGGGAGAGCTGATGCTGGCGTTGGAGGAGCTAACGATGAGCGTGCCTGCCATGGTGGACTGGGAAGGATCTCAGGTAAAGGTTTAGGCGGTGTATTGGATTTTGGACTTGGTGGTGGTCGTTTCCTATCATAAAGCCTCTTGGACACTACCCTGGGCTTGTATGGAAGTCATGGGGAGAAAGTTTGAATAAGGGAGACACAGAAACAGGTTCAGTGGCCTTGACTCTGCGGCTGCCATGAAAAAGTAGGAGGGCAGAGATAAAAATGAAAATTATCAGCCTAGAATTGGCCTTCATTGTCGTGCTTTCTCGAACTGCTACGAGGCATTTATGTAGCTGTAGAATGTGATGATCTTCGGCAGCTTAGGGTTTAAATAAAACCCATTTTCCCATTAAAGCCCGTTGGTTACGAATTCGACTAAGTCAAGGTCGTGTGGGGAAAGCTCACAACTAGCCACTTACGCCCCTAAGAGAGTTATGTTTTTGTTCTTTCTGATTAAGCCTCAAGGATGTTGATTTGTTTACAGCTTGTCTTTCCTTGTCTACCTTCATGACCGCCACCACTAAGTACTAACTTTTTTTTTGGTTACAAACTAAGCATAACTCTTTTTTATGCTAATAATGACCCTTATCGATATATCTTTATCGGTAGTAAAACATTAATGCAACAACAATTATGGACATCCCCATCTGTACGGCGTTTTAATTGTTTTTTATAATAAAAATAAAAAATAAAAAAACTAAAAAATGAAAAAATCAAGAGGTTGAATTTGTATAAAATCTGTTTGTTTAGATTAAAGAGTTTGAGTTGGGTTGAAGAGTTTGAATTTAACTTAAAACTTTGGAATTGAAATTTTAAAAAAATTAAAACCCTTTTTGGTTTAGGGTTCTCAAGATTTAAATTATATAAACATAGACCTACACAGAGAAATCAGAAGCATACAGATTATCAGAGAGAAAAATACAAAGGCAGCCAGAGAATACAAAAATTTTAGGAAAATTTTTTGGTTGAAAAAGAAGCTTTGCAAGTTTTTTCAGGGAAAATTTTTCTGAAAATCCCAGTTTTTGATGGAATTTTTCCACGAAATTTTTAGATTTCAACTGACTTTTTCAGTTTCCGGTGAAGATTCTGATGAAGTTTGAATTTTTCGATGAGTTTTCAGAATCCAATTAAAGATTCCAGCAAAGATTGAATTTTTTGATGGTATTCCAGCAAAAAATCCAAAAACTGGTGAAGATACCTAGTTTCTGATGACCAATTCCAGAAATCGATAAATGTCTATCCGGTTGTTCATAGGTTTCCATAGAGAGAGGAAGAGAAAAGAAAGGAAGAGAGAGAGGGAGAAGAAGAGATCTGAGAAAAAAAAAATTTTTACCCTTTTATACTACACTCAAATGATGTCGTTTTGGCATTCAATTCAACCTAGGATTCGCACGTTTTGCAAGTAAGAGGTCCTACCTAAGCGTTTGACCCACTTTTGACCAATGTCTCAATCCTTGACTCAAGCCAAGTTAAGCCATTTTTCTGTTTTGATTTTTTTAATTTGTGATTTATTTATTTTTAAAGTATTTTTGTATGATTAAATTTTAAAAAAAATTAGAGCAGAAGAGAAAATATAAAACAAAATAAAACATTAACAATTTTTTTTGATAATAAATACTCATTATCCAATGATAAAATTTTTAAAAATTGTAAAAAGTTAGTTTCTATAAAATTTTTAGATGAGAAATTTTTTTAATTTTATTCTAAATGGTGAAATAATTTAGAATAAAATTTTTAATAATAATAATTAATATTTATTTTTAATTTTAAAAAATAAAATAAAAAACATAATTTTGGAATTTAAATACTACTTACTTAAGGATGAGATTATTAGAAATTTCAAATAATAAATTTTCTAAGAAATCTCTAGGTGAGAAATTTCTCTAAATTTGTCTTAAATGATATAATAATTTAGATGAAATTTCAA